TTGACAACCTAGACCATTTAGGCTAAAATTATCAAGAAAGAAAATAGTAAATATAGATCTTGGGGGAGGAGGGTTTTTTTTTTTTTGGTGCCTTCAATCAGTCTTGACTTCTGGTGACTGCTTGGACTAGTCCCTGCAGTTTTGCTGGTGAGATTTTTGGAAATGAGAGAGTGAGGGACTGACCTAACATTCAAAACATTAAAGATATTAGCACAGACTGGAGAAGTTCTAGCTCAGCAGTAGCTGCTGAGCTTCCTGGTCAGCAGTAGCTTCCTGCTGCCTATAGGAAGCCTACAACTTCTGATCCAGCACCTTTACTACTACAGCAAACTGGTTCCTACTCCATTAGTGGAGAAAATAAACCTAACAAACAAAATGGAGACTGCACCCTTCCCCCCATCCCCCATTCTTTTGGATGTGACTAGGGTCAAACCCAGTTCATCTCTTTGCCTAATCCCATCAGACCCAAATTAACCCTCCCTCCCCGTCCCAGACAAGGCCTCACCAGCTCATAGCACAGCCCAAGGGCAACCCTTACAAGGAAATTGCAACCTAGAGAAACCCCAACCTTCCATGCTCCATCAGCTTATGACATCAACATTCCAACTCCTTAACAATGAAGTTCCCCAGCTCTGCTGTCCTCCTGAAAAGCCCATTTTGCCTAACAATAGAACTCACCCCAGGTATGCTGACAAGGGCCTGATAGCTTCCCCAAACTGGCCAGCCAATCAGATGCAACTGAGCAAACTCCAGGAGGCAGTGAAGGACAGGAAGGCCTGGTGCGATATGCTTCATGGGGTCACGAAGAGCCGGACATGACTTAGACTGAACAACAACAAATCCCTCAAGGAAAGTTGGATAGGCTGGTGGTACTTCTGACATCACAGGAGTCTTACTTTTATGTTCTTTTTTTAATGTCCTTACCATGAGACTTAAATCTGAGTGCTGTAACAATATAGTAGAGGGAGATTTGAGGCCAGCTTGGGGTGATAAATCTAGTTAAACCTCTCTACCATACTGAAAACTTTGGGGAAGAATGCACAGCAAGTTACAAAGCCAGGCAGAAACCCAAGCACTGCAGATATGATAAGGAGAGATTTGGGGACTGGCCTGAGAATGGCAGCGTAAGAGGCAGAATCTCTTCATCACTGTCTTTCAAAAAAAAAAAAATCATATTCTCTACTTTCCGGGACAGAGAAAATTAGCCCTCAGCTTTTCCCAGTGTCTAGGTAATGCACTTGAAAATAATTGTTCTTCAAAAGCTGTTTGCAGTTTGTCACAAGTGAACTAATTACATGAATCACAGACTGCCACTGTTGCTTTTACTCTGCTGTCTTCATTCATTCTTTGTTGGGGGATAATCTTTGAACTGGCATAATGAAGGCATGTGGATATTTTTCCTCAAGTGTAATTGGAAGAGAAAAACAAAAAAATAGGTGAGAGCATGCCTTCAATTATAGCCCCCATCATAAAAAAAGATATGAAAATTATATGTGGTTTATTCACTAAAAGGTTACGAAGATAAAAATAAGGATAGAATGGTCTCCAATTCAACAGCAGGTTCACATACAGAACAAGAAGAGACACCATCTGAAACTAGGCCTAATTCTGAGTATAAGTTCCTTCTAAGTGAAGCCATCCAATTTACCATCTATTTTTTAACATCTAACATTAACTTAAGCCTTGTTAATACTCTTTGTGTAAGAAGTCATGCATTACAATTTGTTACTTATTCTGATATTCTGCCAGAGGCAATCCTAGGTACTATCTAAAATCAACCTGCACCTAGCCCAGTCTCATATCACCTTCTGTCTTAACTCCATATTTCTCCTGCCTTTTGCTGTCTGTCTTGGGTTTTTTTTTCCCTTTGATAACTAACATCTTGCCTGATGAAATGATCTAGAAATATTGAGAGTCGTATATTTGGAGCGACTTGCATTCACCAATAGAGATACTGGTCAAATACAAACTCTTTATTGACTATTTTAGCTGAAAAGCCAAGCAGGGATGGATTTCTTTAGAGCTGGACCCTGGAATGAAGACTGCCAGTAAGTAAAGTGGTACCTCTACTTACGAACTTAATCCGTTCTGTGACTCTGATCACAAGTTGAGTTGGTCGCAAGTCAAGGTAAATTTTCCCATAAGGTTCAATGTAAATACAGTTAATCCGTTCCGCCCTCTGAATTTGGTCGCACCCCGAAGCAAATTTTCCCATAAGGTTCAATGTAAATACAGTTAATCCGTTCCGCCCTCTGAATTTGGTCGCACCCCGAAGCAAATTTTCCCATAAGGTTCAATGTAAATACAGTTAATCCGTTCCGCCCTCTGAATTTGGTCGCACCCCGAAGCAAATTTTCCCATAAGGTTCAATGTAAATACAGTTAATCCGTTCCGCCCTCTGAATTTGGTCGCACCCCGAAGCAAATTTTCCCATAAGGTTCAAAGTAATTACCGTTAATCCGTTCTGGTGTCCGTGGACCATGCATCAGGGGCAGAAAAGCGCCCGCGCACTGCGCGGCGGCAAAACACCTGCGCGCCATGCATCAGGGGCGGCAAAACGCCCACACGCCACGTGTCAGGGGCGGAAAAGCGCCCACGCGCCGTGCGTCAGGGGTGCGGTGGGACGGCAAAACGCCCGCGCGCTGCGCAGCGGGGCAGAAAAACGCCCGCGGACGTGTCAAGGGCGGAAAAATGGCCGTAGACCACGTGTCAGGACGGAAAAATGGCAGTGGACCACGTGTCAGGGTGGAAAAATGGCCGTACCTCGAGGTGGAGTTCGCACATTGAGGTAAATTTTTGGAGCCGGAGCTGGTCATATCTCAAAAATTTCGTAAGTAGGGGCGTTTGTAAGTAGAGGTACCACTTTACCAGAAATTTAGACTAGAGTAGAAAAGTAAAATTGAAAAAAAACAACTCCAAAGGCAATACCAAATCACTTCTATATTGGTGTCAAGAAACTACATGTCCATTAAGTTACCAGGAGTCAAACTTAACTGGAAGGAGACATTACAATCAAGTTACTCCTGCCTTACTTTTATCTTCAAGGTAAGCTACCGTTAATTAATAAATTAGTGATAAGAATGAATCAGGAGAATTCACCATTCTATTCTGTACTTTTTCTTTGTTTGAACAGAAGAAATTTTTGAAAGTTTTGCCTTTAATTCTTTACTATCAAGATTTAAAAACTTTTATATTGCTCTTTTAAGCATGCAACTCTCTTTCACTCTCTTGCTGGTTGGCACATGGTCATAAAAAAAATTGTGCTGAACTAAATTTTCTCAATACTTTCCCCATCACCGCCTAGAGTCAACATTATCAGGGGGTATAGAAATAATATAAATAAACTCACAAGATTTGAGATGCAGCATTTTGGGGGGGTCCCTTTGGGTCAGTGTTGACTCCAGGTGAATGCCTGAACAAGTCTCTGCACTTTTCTTGGCAAGATTTCAGAAGTGGTTTGCCACTGCCTGCTTCCTACGATTAAAAGAAAGTGCCTAGCCCAAGATCACCTAGCTGGCTTTGTGCCCAAAGCAGGATTAGAACTCACAGTCTTCCAGTTCCTAGCCTGGTGCCTTAGCCACTACACGAAACTGGCTCTCAAAGCAAATATGCCTGAGTCTTATTTTTTTGTCAGCAGCCTACGTAACCTATCTCTGTTGGCAGATCTATACTATATATTTGCCCATCACATTTCTGGCAGCTAAGAAGAACTTTTACATGCTGTGCAGTTGATAACCTTTATGGATTACAGTACTGCAATTAGCAGACATGTAACTGGGGGATTTTGGTGATCAACAAGTAATTCATGAAAAGAAAATATTAAACAATAGAAATTCACATAATTGGGCACACATCTACAATTTTAAATAGAGATACAGAATTGTAAGAATCCATAGTTAATATTTCTTTCCAAAAAGCTGTTTTTACATAGAGGTATTCAGCTTCATTGATGTAACTAAAAAAAAAACTGAGACTACATCTAAAATTAATCTTTACAGATTTCTTCCAGTCTTTCTGCTGCTGTTAACTGAGTAGCCAACATTATATAGCTCATAGTTTTAAATACTACTGATCTAAAGAAAAAAATCACTTTAGTTTTAGCAAAACACAGTAAATCTGGTGGGACGTTACTGAATTTTGGAAGTCCTAAGAAAAATGGACAAAAAGATTGATAATAGTCTTGCTAAAATTGTTGACTAATATTTCATATTTTCTCAAACAATTTGAACTAAAATGCAATAAGCAGATCAAAGCATTTAAGAATTTTATTTTAAGAATGTTATGCTATGATACATAATTCTTTTTTCTTCCATAAATTGTCCAAATTTAATAATCTACCATGCACGGAACCCTACACCTGTCTTCTTGTAATATCAAACCCATTCAGTTTAATGGGAGTTAGTTGAGGATAAATGGAGCTTCTTGGCCTTGGATTGTCTAAAAAGAAAAAAAAAATAGGCAGACAAAATGGCTGCAAGCCACCCAAAAGGCAAGGTATATTAACCAAAGGTAACCAAAGGGGCTTATCCGATCTACATGGCTATTTCCAATGGAAACCTTCGAAATCCAAAGACTGTTGGGCTATGCAGTCTGAATTAATTTCACTCACGTCTTCAGCAAGGCGACCGCTATCTTTAACTCTCCTTCCATGCTACCTCCTCCCCAGTCCTTCGTTACTTCGCCTCAAGGTTTCCTGCCTACCGAAAGCGCTTTCTGGGTTAGCATTTCAGCCTGAATGGAGAGTTGTTAGCTCTCATCTTCCTACAGCAGTCGTGGCCTTCCGCCCCTCATCGCCTCAGTTCGAGACAGCGCCGAGCACCGGAAAAAAGGAGCCGGCGCCCCGCGAAGTGCGGTACCTTCTAGGTGTTCAGCTCACTGTTAAGGAGAAATCAGCTCAAGCTCCCCTCCCCAGAAGAAAACAGGACCCGCTCCTGCTACACAGGCGGTGCTCACACCACAGTCCTCCGCAGAGCCCTGCCTCAGCGTTCTCCACCACCTACCGGTTCCGAAACTCCTGGTTGTAGAGCGCCTTCAAGGCATGCTTGTTGCTCTCATTCTGATTGCCAGAATCCTGCAGGAACTGCAGAAATTGCTCCCCGACGGCCCTCGCCTCCTTAAAAGTAACTTTGGGCATAGCGACCCGCCTCGCAGGCGCTGCTTCGCCTCCCCTCGCTCGCTCGGCAGCAGGAGCGGCGGAAGCAACTTCGGCACCGCGTCCTCCTTCTCGCCGGGGGAAGAATGCGCCGGCGGGGCTTTCCGAGCTCCACTTGGAAACTAAAAGTTGAAAGAGGAAGAAACGAAATTGAAAACTCACCGGTCGCTCTGCCAATCCCAAAGTTTTCCGAGGAGCTGCAGCTCCCAGGAAAAGAAGATACGGGAAGGGGAAAAGGACATTCTAGAATTGGTTTTCAGTGCTAGTTTGAAGTTTCCGAAAATGTAGTGAGTACCTTTCCGTAATACGAAAGGTGATCAAGATTACACATAAAATGAAGCCTCCTCATTATCTTCATTTTGAACTCTCATCATTCTGATACTTGCAGAATTATTGCATCAGACAAATCGAAGCTGTTCTAGGTTGATAGATCATCATTACATTTTAAAATAGCTTCAAGCGCTAACGGACCTATCCAATGTCTTTCTAATTTTGATTTCCAACCTGAGCCTTTTTACATTTGTTTATCCACTCGTGCGGGTCCTTCCCTTGATTAAGTTGATTTGGCTTCCATGTCCTCCTTGGGCTAGCAGCTGCGGCTAAACAAATATTCATAAAATGCCTTATCAGCACATCCCTGCAACCAAATGACCTTTCATTGTGAACCAGACATTCCATAAAACTGATATAATTAACGATGGCATTTGCTTTTGCTCCTAAATCTACAACATTTTGCTTTAAAGTGAGATCAGCCTTGTCTTGCTTCTTCCTATGTCCACAAGAAGTCAATCAGTGTGTTCAGTTGGTTTTGGCCTAGCCCCAACCTTTTAATTCAGCAGCCTTGGGGCAATATTGCAATATTGTACAAGAATAACATATGTTTAACCGTACACACTCCTGTAACTCTTGATCTCAGATTAAAATAAGGTGATAAGAAAAACAATGTGTTTTGTTTCTGGAATAAGAATTTGTGAAACTATTAACTAGGAAATTCATTTACTCATATCAAAATAGATGTTGACTAGATTCACACAAGATACTGAGTTGTGATGTGAGTTGATTAGGACTTACACTTTTTTTTTGAATGAATGAATTTTATTTATTTATAAAAGTTAGTGCCTCAATCCTCATGGACTTGAGGTGATTTACAGATGTTAAAATAGTGATAAAAATAAACATTTTAAATCAGCAGTAACAAATATATAACAGACAAGAAACACACACATATGTACACAGCACGTTTATAGAGTGGAGATTTTACTAGGTTCCTGAAAGCCATGCGGGGGGCCATCCTCACGTCTGAAGGCAAGCTGTTCCATAAGGGGGAGCTGCCATTGGGAACAGGCACATCAGGCCCCCTCTTGCCATCTGGTAAGAGGGGATCCTCAGTAGGCATCCTTTGGCCATCCAAATTGGATAGGCAGAAACTATATGGGAAAAATAAGATATATATCAGGCCCAAGCTATATAGAGTTTAAAGACTGCAACCACCACTTTGAATTCCATTCGGAAACACACTGATAAATGCCGTAGCCCTCACAGCAGCAGCGTAATGTGGTAGTGCCAAGAGGGGCCAGTTTAGCCTAGACTAGCTGAAGCTTCTGGTGCTCTTCAAGGGCAGCCCCACGCAGAGCAGAATAAAGTCACTGAGAAATGACAAAAGCGTGAATAACTGTTCTCAGAGCATCCAGGTAAGATCACAGCTGGAATACCAGCAGCAGCTGGCAAAAGCCTTCCAGTCTACAGTTTCTTTTGGCTCCTTGAGGAGCCTCAGATTGTGAACCTGCTCTCTGAGGGAGCACAAACCCATCAAATGTCAAGGATGATACAATCCTAGAATCAGAAGGCTTCTGCTTTAAAAGTTACTCCCTCTTGCTTGGGTTGAGTCAGAGTCTGTTTTTCCCACACAGACCCTGGTAGCCTCCAGCCCCTGGTACAGGACTTCTAACCCATCTTCCATTAAGCTGGAGTAGAGATGTGCAGCTGAGTGTCATCAGCATTTTTATGAACCTCACCCTAAACTGGTAGTTGGCCTTTCCCAGTATTTTGTGTAGATGTTAACAGGGTAGGGAAAAGGTTCAAGCAAGGGACACGCTATAACAGAGCATCCACGGGACAGACTTTTTTCTTTGATGGAAACTGTCCATTTGGGTAGAAGCAGAACCACCATAGCATAGTGGTCCCAAATCGCAACCCGTGCAGGCAGCTCAGAAGGTCTGCTGGAATGCTATGAAGCAGCAGGTTCTCAGGAAGGGACTTGAAAAAAGGGAGCATGGACGTCCTTGCCCTCCTAGATTGTTCAGCGTCTTTCAATACTGACTTTCTGTCAGGCCCAGCCCAAGAACAACAGTGAAACCGTCCATCCAAATTTCATTCCTTTATTGCTTACACCAGTGTTGTCCAAACTTGGGCACTTTAAGATGAGTGGATTTCAACTCCCAGAATTCCCTGGCCAGCATGGCTGGCTGGGGAATTCTGGGAGTTGAAGTCC